GGTTTAGGAGTTTAGGGTCTAGGGTTTAGGAAACTGGGTTTAGGGTTTAGGGTTTAGGAGTTTAGGGTCTAGGGTTTAGGAAACTGGGTTTAGGGTTTAGGGTTTAGAGTCTAGAGTTTAGGGTTTAGGGTCTAGGGTCTACTTAAAGGATCGGTAACTATACTTACAACTGTTTGTAACAGTTTATGACAATGCATAACCATACTTACCAAGTCCCATGACCCTCCAAGTGGGGCCCACGATGCCAGACACTCAATGGTTTCTTAGCACCTAAATCAACCCCACTACTAGTATATTTCGGCACATGGACCCTTAAGTTAAGAGCACCTAGATTGTGGTTCGTACTTGTGTTCCCTTATAGTCCTTACTGTGACCACACTACAACATAAACCCTAAACCCCAAACCGTATGGTTTTCAACTTCGATGTTGAAATCTGCTGGCATGGTCTGGACTTCTTTGATTCGGTTCGTCCTCAAGGTCTGGAAAGTGTGCTCACCTGACCCTTTCGGGGCATTGGGGTTTATGCTTGGCCTTACGGGTCCATGTTCTTGAAGATGTTAATCATATGTATCGTGACGGGGAGCAGCCGCCCAGGTCTTCGGATAGCAAAAACAACAAAATTCCTTGTGGGTGTTGCTATAGTACGTAAGGGTCCCACACTTCAGCTACCTGTCTGGCTGCGTTTACGCAAGCCCACGGATCCTACTCGCTGGTTCATTCGAGTTCTTATGTTCCGAAACTGCCGAATGCGAACCCCTAACCCTAAAGGCTAAATCCTCTCTACGACTCTACGATGCCAGGGCACGCCGCTATCCTGCCCGCTGTTGCTGTTGTCGTTGCTACTATCCTGAGGCCATGAAAGCAGAGACTCCAAAAACCCTTGAGGAACAAACCTTAAATCGTATTTTGGGGTCCTATTTTACCGTAGGCAACATACCTGACATCGTATTTGGGGTCCTATCATACTATATAAGGTATACTTAATCCTTAAATGAGGGGCTCTTTGGAGTCTCTGGGACCGAAATACTTGACCGTAAATCGAAGACTCTGACTCTAAACCTGTAGTGACTCTTAACCTATTTTGGCCCGAGTCACACCCACCTGCTGACACATATGCGAACGCGTTTTTGTGGAGTGTCTACCTGTCCACCTATCTACCCACGTCCCTACCGATATCTATCTCTATCTACCTATCCATCTAACCATCCATTCATCTATCTACCTATCTGTCTGCCGTGCATATGGATTTAAGCAGCTAAGTGTGTTCGTGACTGTCACTACCTGCACGTACAAAGTGTAAACCTGCTTGTACGTACAAACAGATTAAACAAAAACACATATGCACACATCCATGCATGGCCTCACGACCTGTTCAGCTACTGTGCGCCACCGCAAACTCCTGAAATTGTCCTAAGGGTCCAAGAGACGTGGCAAATTAGACACTTGGCCGTAGGATAGGCCTTTTTCAGTCTAAGTCTTGAGGGAAGAGTGGATGACGACTTGGTACATTGGACCTTAAACCACAAGACCCTAGGTAATCGGACTAAACCCTAAACCCTAAACCCTAAATCCTAAATCCTAAACCCTGAACCGCTTAGGGTTGTGTCCTCAGAAGCTTCGGTCGTCGAGGTTGTGGATGTCGACGCCGTTGTTGTCGTAGTGGTCGCCTCACAGGCTGGCCCAAAACGGTTTGTTCTCTAAATCCCTACGGGTCCACGGTTTAGGGTTTAGGGTTTAGGGTTTAGGGGTCCATGCACCCCAAAAGACTGAAAAGTAGCCCCTGTATGGGTCTAAAGCATATACCATTTGGGTACGTGGACCCTTAGGGACGTAAGGTCCCTTCTAGAGTCCTTGTATAAAGCTGCCGCGTCATGGGAGTTTCCTAGAAGGGACCCTAATTTAGAGAACGACCCAAAGCTTTAGCTGTCGGGCGTCGGGATTTTTGGGGTTGAACTCAGACGCTTGATTCTCGGGACTTCATATTGGGATCACGCAGCTCATCTGTAGCGCACTTCTAATTTAAGTACGCCCTATAAGGCTCCATGTACCCATAGAGTAGATACTTAGGCCTTAAAGTGCCTACATAGGGACCCCTTTAAGGCCTAAGTATCTACAATAAAGGCACATGGACCCCTGAACCCTAAACCCTCATGGTACCCTTAAAGGAACCCTTAAAGGAATCCTAAAAGGAATCCTAAAAGGAACCTTATTTGGGTACATGGAGCCTTTGGGACGCATGAGCCTTTGAAGGATGGCTTTAGGGTTTAGGGTTTAGGGGTTTAGGGCTTTAGGGTTTAGGGTTTACCACAGCCCGGTTCTACACTTACACCTAATGCAGGATGATGTACCAGGACCCCCCAATGGCCCTTTAATGCAGCCCTTATGGTCCACAATAGTGGGTACTTGAGGCTATAATAGAGGGTAGTTGGGGGGTCTAGGTAGGGCCCTTAGAATTAGAATAGGGTATTGGGACTATACTTGTAATAATGTTACGGGGCCCTGGAACACAACACACAAAACCCTAAGATTTCGAGGCTTCGTTGAGATATGTCCTCAAGTCGCCAGGCCAGGGCTTTGAACCCAAAAACCTTCTCGGTTTAGGGTTTATAGGGTCTTGGGGTTTGGGGTTTAGGGATTTAGGGTTTAACGCGGATGCCTTCCTAACAAGCTTCTGAGGTTTTCTCAAACCAGAGCCATGCCTCTACGCAGGCTGCGTCACGTAAGCCAACAGAAACCCCGGCCATCGTGACACTGGAGGACAGGTAGACCTCAGCGGTTTAGGGCTTAGGGTCTATAGGGTTTAGGGATTACATGGATCGCGAGGGAAAGGATTGAAGTAGTTCCCACCGCAGTAGATGTAGACGCCGAATCCACTGACTAGTCGTACATAGTTATACATAACTATACCTATCCCTCTATGCTACCCCCTCTCAGGATGCATCCGGGGTCTGAATTATACAATGTAGGGGGTGTCGGAGAAAACAAGACACACACACACACACTAAGAGACGCGCAGCAAAAGGGTGCTTCGTATGACAGAACCGCTACGGCTCCACGACAACTATATGGTACATATGTCGGCCTCACAGGCGAAACGCAAACTATACACATATGTATGTAGCTAATATATGTAAATGTACACATGATTTATAATATACTTCTATAAACTATAAATGTATATGTATATATATATATAGAGAGAGAGAGAGAGAAATAGAGAGAGAGAGAGAAGGAGTTTGTGGTTAGGGCAGAGGGTGGCTGACAATCTGGAGTTTAATTAGGCCCAGAGATCGTAAAACAAAAAACCTGTGAGTTGGCCAAAGTCACTTCGCCAACGTCTCTCTCTTCGCCGAGGTCGACCTCATGTCTAACCCTGAGAGCCCACCAAGGTATATACCGCTTATGCAACCAAGGAAGTACAACAAATTTCAGTGTTCAGGGTTTAGGGGCTAGGGGCCTTACAGGAATAATGTGGGGCTCCTTAGTATGTGCATCGGGCTTTTCGGTTGGTTCAACACTAAAATACAGTGCTAAACTATCGTACAGGGGAGCCCAAGCAAGGACTAGAATTCACGGTCTAGGTGGGGTTCTACCCTAAACCCTAAACCCTAAATCCTACACCCTACATTCAGACTGTAGAGTCTATGGCATTGAGTGCCCCGACCATTATTCGCTGTAGAGGGAACCGTAGCTTTGCAAAGCCTGAACAGCCCAACATCCAAACCTGACACACTCAATGCTCTACACCCTCTATGGGGTTTAAGGGTTTATAGGGTTTAGGGTTTAGGGTTTCAGGGTTTATAGGTTTATAGGGTTTAGGGTTTTAGGGTTTATAGGGTTTAGGGTGTAGGGTTCAGGTGGCGAGCGATTGCGGAGTGAGTTCACAAACCTGTGGTGGGGCTTCCTGGAAAGTTCGGACTTGTCGTCCGTTATCGCATGGATCTACGGAGGTCTATTCCGGCGAATCCCTAAACCCTAAGCGCTAAACCCCTAACCCCTAAACCCTAAACCCCTAAACTGAAAATCCTAAGCAGTGGGCTCAGGAATCCCTACACCCTAAACCCTACCCCGGCCTGCCAATAAGGATCGCTCATCCGCGCACTGACGAATTGCGTCTTCGCGTTGCCGTCCTCCGCCGGGTCTTATCTTCGGGGATTTGGGGTTTAGGGCTTGGGGGGTTTAGGGTTTAGGGTTTAGGGTCTAGGGTCTAGGGTTTAGGGTTGGTGGTTTCGGGTTTAGGGTTTAGGGGCTTGGGGGCGGTAAGCCCTAAACACTTCCAGCAACCCTAAATCCAGGGTCCAGGGTTTACCCTAAACCCTAAACCCTAAACCGACAAACCCTAAAGCCTGTAAGCCCTATAAACCCTAGACCCAAACCCTAAACCCGATGCCGTTACACATTTTCCAAAACTCCCCAACTGAGAAGCCTGGGCATGTTGAGAGGGCTAGGGTTTAGGGTTTAGGGTTTAGGGTTTTTTTTTTTAAAGCTGAACTACGCCCTCCCGTGCAGTCAGACGTGGGCCATGTAGGCCTTCAACTGTGAAACATCCTCAATCTTCGTTCCAAAGAGACATCGCCCTCCTAGGACTTCGCGACTTATCACGATCGGCACACTGTACAGGAATTACACAAGTGCCGACATCCTGTACCTCAGAGGTCTCATGTACACAGTGACTACTCGAAACATTCGTTGCCTCAGAGCACGTTTCAGCTGACAATGCACATCCCAAACTCTCAACTTCCGTCGACTGAACCACCCTGGCCCTTGAAGGAACGTCCATGGCACAGCACTCAGAATCCGAAGCAGCACAACCTTCAGAATCAAGAGCGGGAACTTGTGGGACACAAGGAGGAGGAGGCAAACTTGGTGTAGACGCGCTCGAATCGACCACACCAGCACGGTGAACATCCATAGCACAAAGTTCAGAAGCTGCACGTCCAGCGGCATGTAGAGGGCAATGAACAGCAGGACAACCATGTGAAGCATTGGGACCAGGTGCATGAAGACGGAGTGCTACATGGGGAACACAAGGAAGATGTGGTACTTCGCTAGAAGTCACACCCAGGTTGGCCTCACCACCAGACGCCTGTGTATGCACTGGATCAGAGGCAACTCGACTTCCGGATGACTGGGCACCAGCACGGTGAGCATCCACAGCACAAAGTTCAGCAGCTGCACGTCCAGCGGCATGTAGAAGGCCATGAACAGCGGGACAACCATGTGAAGCATCGAGACCAGGTGCATGAATACGGAGTGCTACATGGGGAACAGAAGGAAGATGTGGTACTTCGCTAGAANNACCCAGGTTGGCCTCACCACCAGACGTCTGTGTATGCACTGGATCAGAGACAACTCGACTTCCGGATGATTGGGCACCATAGACCCCTTCGTTTTGACAAACCAGAGGAAGTAGTTCTGGGGAAGTACACATATCCTCAACAACCGCATCCAAAACATGGTGGCATTGTTCACCCACTGCAGAGAACATCCTCTGGACTTGGGATGCCAACCTTTCACGACGTTCAGATGTAGGCATACTGGACTCACCCTCTGTTCGTTCATGTAGTACCCGACTCAAAGCTTGCATCCCAGCGACAAGACGATCAAGACCATGACAAGCAACTTGAAGCGCCCACCTTGCTGAATGCGAATCTTGTGGAGGTACATCCCTCATGGCCTCCAGGAACTCCGCAATCTCCTCGCGACAACGTCGATACACCCAAAGATCCTGAAGTTCTTCACCCTCGGTGCTAAGCAACGGAAGCATCTGCATAAACACCCCCTCATCTGCGACATCCCCTCCTTCAGGACGAGACAAGCTTTCACCCTCCATTGCTGGTGGTACCCGACGTAGAACAGCAGGCTCAGCTTCTGCATCATCTTCTCTCCGACTCTGAGCAGGTTCACCCCCTTGAGTGGAATGAACGGAACCTGTGGCACGACGTGTAGAGCGCGAGCGCTCTCTGGGAGGAGCACCCGACGACGCCGCAACTGTAGCCATCACATCCCTTGTTTCACCCTGCACAATCTCAGCTTCTCCTGCATCACGACGTCCTCCTTCTTCACTTTCTTCATCTTCAGCATACCCATAGCTACTAGGTGGAAACACCCTCAAGTCAGACGGTAGTTGATCAGGGTCCATCCAAGCTGAAGCAAGCTCATCGTGTAGCGTATCAAGGAAAGCTCTCGACATGGCAACAACCAAAGCATGGGACATCTGCACTGTCCCTCCTCGAGCGTCACCATCAGGAAGAATACATGGAACACCCCTGAAACGGCGCCGTATTATCGAGGCCAACGCATCTTGCACCGCAATGGCACGCGTTGCAGCCAGGTCAACAACCCGTAGACACCACTCAACATCCTCAGGGCCAACATCCCCTTGCGGAGGTTCCATCCTTTCGAGCCTGCAGAGTTCTGCAAGAAATTGACCTAACGCCCCAACTGTCTCACGTCGGACACCCATATTGGACAAACGTTGTGCTTCTTCAGGCTGCAGGCTTTGAACTAACGACGTAGTGTCTTCACTTGGCAAAGCAACCTCCTCCACCAGAGTCGTTTGTCCGGAAACCAAAGCAGCAACACCCATCGTCTCAGGCCCGTTAGGACTCAGCGATACTGTGGCACTCGCCACGGAGGTGTCAGTTGTTGGGACACCCACATCAGCGACCGCCACTTCATCCACATCACCGGTGCCTTGTCCACTTCTTGTCGCTGTTCCACTGGAGCTACCTACCACCCTCGGTGCTCTTCTGGTAGATGGTCTGCTTGACGACGAGGAAGAGGAACTTCTCGATCTTGGTGACCTGCTGCGTTGGGCACGTCCTGCTTCAGCTGAGGCCCGACCATCAGAGGTGGCAGGAGGCTGTGAGGCAAGCCTAGGCTGTTCCACCCTGCTCATCTGAATATCCACCATCCATTCAAGAATCCGTCCGACAACGTGAGTCCATTGCCGATTCCAAGCCACACTCCTCGTCCTCATAGCTGCGTTGGTCGGAGTCCGAACTACAGGGTAGTATGGCAAGGGGCTATCCGCACTGGCACGCACCGCAAGAAGCTGTACAACCTCTTGAATATTGCGACACCCATGCCTCCAGGCTTGCACCCACTGGTGTAGCCCCCAGCGATATTCAGCACCTGCATCGTCTTGTTGGTGCTGCTCCAGTGTCCTCATCATGTCTCGAACAGCACGGCGGAGATCATCTGGAATCTGGAGCTCGTGGAGGACGCGCTCATCTTCTTCGCTGAGCTGCATCATGTACGCCTCTTCTGTATCCACACCCATCGGATATTGTAGGAAACCCACATCATCGTCATCCGTAGTGTAGTACACGTCCTCGACCGCGGGCACCCCAAACTGCGACCAGTCCACAACCATGACGTCCCCAATCACCCAACGAGCCCAGTCATCCCATTGCGTAACCGTCCATTGTGGCCTTTGTGCCTGACGTCGTACACTTCGAGGCGGGTTCTGCACGAGATTGAGGACTGCGGCAAACTGTGCACGGGCCGCCCTAGCTGCCTCACTGTCACGAGCTGGCACACCCCTGTGGAACGCAGCTGGGCGGAACGTTCCATCATTCCACGAGTCTAAACGCCCCTGCCTCCTCTGTTGTCGTACTGGTCCTTGTCCACCACGGTGATCACGTTCTTCCGACTCAGTGCGGCTTCTGCTGTGCCACACCCCATACCTCCAGAACCCTTGTGGATATTGACGGTGCCGACTATTGTGGTGGGGTGTGGAGGAGCTTGAAGCAGGCTGCGATGAAGGCATAGGATCAGTGGAACTTGACGCCGGAGCATCCCGAGAAACATCCCCTTGTGGATTCCTCGTCCTCGAAGTAGAACCCGACCTCGCCGAAGGCGCCCGATGGGGAGTATGCGATGAACTTCTTCCGCCAGAGGCTTGTGGGTCTCCATGAGGAAAACGTGCGAACTCTCTATCCCAGCTTCCTCGTCCACGTTCATCACTTTCATCACCCCATCGCCACTCGTCCCATCCAGTTGAACGCCCCGAACCAGGACGACGCCAGTCCATTCCGTTTCCTCCCCACCACGTAGAGTCTTGTTGGTCATGAGCCCATGGATTGTGCCAATCATCTTGATGCCATTGATCTCCTTGTTGTCGTGTCCACCCTCTTCCATTCATATTCTGCCATCCGTCAGCACTACTGTACCATCCCCCTTGCCAAGGTTGTGCAGGATCACGAACAGGCTCCACTGGACCATTCCATCCACCATCATTCCACCCACCATACCATCCACTTTGAGGTGCACGAGGAAAACGACCATGATCGTATGCTGCATTGCTGTCTCCCGGTGTTTCCACTGCATCATCCCGTCCGCCGCCATTCCGCCCACCATACCAACCACCTTGACGTGCACGAGGAGAACGTCCATGACTGGGTTCAGCATTGCCATCTCCCTGTGCTTCAGTTGGAACATCATCTGCCCAGTCAAACCACCCCTGTGCTGTGTCAGGTGGC